AGCCAATATCGCCTGTACAAAACCATTTATTATTGCCGCCAACATTATCGGGTAAAACATCATTTTCCCGATCCTTATCCTTAAGATAGCCGCAAAATAATCGTTGACCTTTGACACAAATCTGTCCCTCCTGTTCGGGTCCCAATGGTTTACTGGTATCATCTATGCCAACAATCTTGAGTACTGTTCCCGGTACTGGTTGGCCAACATTACCCGATTCGTATTGTTGTCCAAAATGTATTATCTTTATGGTTATCGGACCGTATTCCGACAAACCGTATCCTGGTTACAATATCACCAAAAAAACACATATATTTTATATTCAATTGTTATTTTTATATTGTTTAATAATTATAATTAAATAGATAATTAGATAATTATAAAAATAAATAAAAAGATAGTTATAAAAAAAATTAAAAGATGACTATAAAAATAAATAATTATAAAAATAATAATAATTATAAAAAAATAAAAATAATAATTATAAAAAAATAATAATTATAAAATTAAATAAAAATTATTTAAAAAAATTACTTTCAATTAATTTGACATTGGCAATTTTATCGAAAAATGTTTGTACAACATTTGGATCTAGTTTTGCACTAGTTGATATTATTAATTTAATACTAGACAAGTCATAATTGTCAAACAAACAATCATCATAATTGACTAACTGTGCGGCCAAATGTGGATTCAAACGCAATACGTTTATCTGGTATTTAGCAATAGATTTGCATAATAAATGGATATCCAGTTTATTAAACAATACACATTTGGCGCCAGTCATTATCATTGAAAGTATAGATCTGGTACCCGATTTGTGTCCAAATTGCAATGTAAACAATACGGTAATATTGCTGGAAAATGTTGGATATTTAAACTCATCGGACAATACACCCCATTCTACCCAACCATTGCCTGTATAGATAAACTCCCGGTGCGGTAGTCTAACAATTTTCGGTGGGCCAGTTGTACCCGATGTATAAATCAGACAATACATATCTAGTTCAGGATCGATTGGAAAGTATGGTATACGTGGGGCCAGTGTTTGATTTCTACTACCTTTACTAAGTAACTGTTCAAACGTTATGTAATTATTGTATTCAAAATTTATTATTGATTTTTCTTCTTCATTGTTATCAAATATAATAATATGTCTAACATTTTGATAATTATTATTATTATTATTATTATTATTGTCAAATAATTGTTGAAATTTATGTAAATCTTCCAGTGATGTCATAATTACAGTAACACCTACTGTTCGGATGGCATCCACAACATTCTGATCATTGAATTCCTGTCTTAACGGCACAAACGTATTGCCCAACCATTGTATGGCAAATCTCATTATAGAGTGCTGTATAGTATTGGTGCCACTGATGGCAATAATATCGTGTCTATTGAGACCAACCATATCATGTACCAGTGCTGCAGCTATACTCTGTGATTGTTTAATTAGTTGTCTAATAGTCAATTGTTTATCAGTATCAGATTGTATCTAAATTATTAATTAAATAAATTAATTCATTGTAACAAATATGATATTATTAGTTATGATAAATTTTTTATTTATATGTAAACATATTTTGTTAGACCTAATAGTCTAACATAATATACACACAAAAAAAATAATTTTAATAATATTGTTGATTAAAATATTTATATTAATACAATAATAAAAATATTTTTGCTCTATTATACTATACAAATAAATATAATATAAACTAATTTTTTATATTTATGATAATCTAATAATTATAAATATTTATTATATATTTATTAAGTATTTTAATAGTTAACTATTGTATGGTTTAATCTTTAAAGTTTTCATCTAATATTTATAGAATTAATTTTTTTATTAATTCTTAATTTTAGTTTAAGTTTTATTTAGTTAGTTTAATTAGTTAAATTAGTTAGTAAAATTATTTGACATTCATAGCTTAAATAACTTTAAAATAAAAATTAATTAATTAAAACTTTTACCAAACAAACATGATTTGGATCCCATTTTTGAAGCCAATGCCAACACAATTGTCCAACAGTTTTATAATTGATTACAGGAATTGAATTTCCGTATAATATATTGTTTTTTAATAACATTTTAATAAATATTTTATATTAAAGAAAAAACTTTTACAATATTTGTTTTTGAAATAAAAATACAATTCTTTAAGTATAATGAAATTATTAATATTGATAATTTTTTATTATTAGTTTGTAAATATTAATTAAATTATAAAAAATTTATTTGTTTTTAGCTTAATAGTAAGCTAAATACCATTATTAACTAAATAAAAATTAATTTAACAGAATATATAGTCATAGCAATTAATAATTTATTTTAATTTATAATTTTGTTAACATTTACTATACATTAAAAACAATTAAATCAAATATTTTCAATTTAGCATTATCACTTTATCTTATATATAGGACAATAACTGAATTATTAGATATCAGTGTAATATATCAGTGTTAAATATCAATGTTAAATATCAATGTTAAATATCAATGTTAAATATCAATAAAATATAAATACCGAGTTTACTTTTTTGTATGTAATATAATTTACATTTTTTAAAGTAAATATTTCTAATAACTAATATTTAATAATAATTACCACAAACTTATTTAATTTTTCATTAAAAAATAAACAATTATATTTCTATTGTAATTAGCATTATTTGTACAATTTTCATTAATACAATTATAAATTATAAATTAATAATTTTATTTCAGTATTTTATTAGTACAATTAAAAAAAATTAATAAAAAGTATTAAAATTATTATAAAACGTTAAATTTAATGAATATAATATTTAAAGCAAAGTTTACAGTTTGTTACTGAAAAAAATATGTAAAGCTTATAATAATGTTATTTTTTATTTAAATTTATTATAATTATACTTATTACATACTTAATAGTATTGCTATAATTATACAGTTATTTTTAAAATTCAATATAAAATATTTAAATAATATAATTATAATTTAAAAGTAATGAATTATATAATAGTAATATTTTTGTTTACAAATTTACACTAATAAGTCAATTAACAAAATGATAACTATATGGTTTTTAATTAAAAGTATTTATCTATTTTGATATATATATATATAAATATTAATTGTATAATATGTTAATTAATGTAAATAACGTATAAATTATGTTTATTAAATAGGTTTTATTATTGATGATAAGGAATACAATTGGTTAATAGTAAATTATTGAAATTTATTAAAAACAAAAAATATTAAAATTACAAAAGCATTGCCTAATTATTAGTACTAATTTTAATTTTAGTTAATAATATTATTAATATAAATAAAAATCGGCGCTGTGTCTAGTTTTAAAAAAATAATAAAACATATATTTAATAAAAATTGTATTTAAAGTCACAATGTACAGTTTATTTATTTTATGAAAAAAACATTTAATTTTTATAATAATATAAAAATAAATAGTTATAATTTTATAACTTATGTAAAATAGTAATAGAAAGTTAATTAAAAAAATACATTAGATTAATAAGTGTTGATAACTTTTATATATTATATAATTATTATATGCCATATATTTTTTGACTAAATTAAATTATTGTTAAGATATAGTGATTAACAATAATATTTTATATTATAATTTACAGTATTTAGTAAATATTTTAAATGTGTACAGTAATTATAACTAAATAAAATTAATTAAAATTTAAATATTATATTTAAAATCTAATTAGATTTATTTTTGTTGTACTATAATAATAATTAAATAATTATAAATTAAAGAAATAAATATTGACAATAAATTCAATATATTCTATATATTTTAGATGTTTTTATAGAAATTTTTCTTATAAATTATTTGATTTATTTCAAAATTCTAATAAAACCGATTTATTATTTTAAAAAACTAAACTTTAAAAATAATAAATCGGCTTTATTAAATATTAATTATAAACATTAAGTTTATAGTATTTGCTAAAAATATAACAGTAATTAAAAAGTAATTAATATAATTTTGCATTAATATCTTATTTAATAAATGTTTTATATAAAAAAAATATTTTTTATTAAAATGAATCAATTATATTAAATATTATTTTAGTTTTTAAGTTGAATTAAATTATTATGTTATACTATATAATTAGGCTAACAGTAACAAACATTATAAAGTATTAATAGTATTGTATTAAATGATTTTAATAAGATTTTTGATTGAATTTAATTACAAAATTAATGTTAATAAATTAATAAAAAAAATATTAAAGAAAAATATTTACATATATATAAAAAAAGTTTAGACATATTTTATGACTATTTTAATTACAAATAAAAATTAATTTTAACAAAATGATTATTAAAAAAATAAAATTTATAGTCTATTATTTCACAATTTATTAAATAATATGACTAGCAAATTGTAAGTAGTAATTTAAATAGTTTTCGATAAATTAACATTGCTCAATTATAAAATAGAAAGTCCAATAACTTATATGTAAAATATATGGAAAATGTTTAGTATATTATTGTTATTATTAATTAATTTTGACTTTTATTAATATTAGATATTTTATTAAATATTACTTAATGTTTAAGCATTAATTTTATTGTTAATAGTTTATTAGTTTTCATATAAATATTTTAGTAAAATATTAAAGTTATTTTTTAAATTTATTATATAATAAATATATATATATTATACTGTATTATTTACATAATACCTAAATTAGGTAACCTAATACACTTTATTATTAAAATTTATTTATTTAATTTTTAATTTACAAAATTATTAGATTATATCACTTTTTGATTTTATAAAATAGTTTATAATTTATAATTTTTTAAATTAAATTTTACATTATTTAATTAATATACTAATTAAGTAGATTAATAAATTTAACTAAATTTTTAATTAAACTCGATTAACTTATATTTTAAAATAATGAAAAACAATTACTGATTTAAATTAATTTAATAATTATTTTCTAAAAATTATATTTTTAAAAAACTCTATCAATTAGCCGACATTGTTGTGTATATGGATTATAAGCGATACAATTGGTAACAAAAGTTCGGTATATTTTGGCCACAAGTGTTGCGGTCAGCGATTTTGAGCCCAATCGGGACAAACAGTGACCAAACTGACGGTCGCAGTCACAACTGCTTCTGTTTAATAAAACAAATTTGATTTTAAAAATTATTTTTATAATTATTATTACAAAAAAAAATCAAAAAATGTTTTTTAAATGTTTTAAATGTTAATTTATTGGAAAATTTAATAATAAATATTATAAAAATATATAAATGTTTATTTAAAATATTATTTTATAATAACAACTTTTGTTTAATGAAAATAAATTATAATTATTTGTTATAATTTTTCGAAAATCTAATAGTTTTACTTATTTGATAGTAACACAAAAAAAATTTTGAAAATTTTGAAAAAACACAAATATAATATTTTCTTTATAAACTAAAGTTATATGATATAAAAAATTATTACAAATTATTATATATATATAATTTGTAATTTAGTTATCACAATAATTAAGTAGTTTTTTCTAACAATTTTTAATAGAGCTAAAAAAATAGTTTTATATTTTATAAAATATTAATAAATAAATATTATTTGATTAAATAAAAAGTTAATTATATATAACTTACATCTGAAACTGAGTGTTAGGCAATTGACACAAATACTGGAGATGACCGGATCGGACACCGGGAGGGTTACAGTTGTCGTGTTGACGACAACAAGCATCGGTAGCCGCATCTGAGCCCAAATCATTGTAATTGCGGGCAGTATTGCCCGGACCGCACCATTTGGTATTGGGAAACATAACACGTGTAGGAAAACCGATAAAACGTTTTGCACGACTAATTGTTGGACTATTAACTACTAAATTATTATTATTATTATTAACATTATTACTAGTATTTTCACTAACACATTGATTAATTTGCAATATTATTAATAGTAAATTAAGCAAAAATATTATTATTAATGTTTTTGACATTACAGAAAAATAATACAAATAATTTTTAAGAAATATTAATTTTTATTAACTAATTAACTTATTAATAAAATATTTAATTTTTATTGTAAATGTAATATTTAAAATCAAAATTTACAGTTTATTATAAAAATAACACATTAACTATCAAATAATAGTCAAATAATTTTTTATTAAAATTTTATTTTATATTTAATAGAAGTTTAGTACTGAAACAATATTAAATACTACATTATATTATTAGTTATTATAATAATTCATTTATATTTATATATATAAAAAAACTATTTTGTTATTTAAATATCTATTGAAATTTATATTTAAACTATTGATAGATATTCAATATATATATATATAAATTACAATAGTAATTGTTTGAAATAATCATTTAAATAACAATAATATATTATTATTATATTATGATATCAATTTAAACAAAAAAAAATATTTGATGATAGACTGGCCTTGATGACACTATATATGAGGGCTAGTTATCATTATTTAGTTGGAAAAAAAGTATATTTTCATTTACACATAAATACACACACACTTTAAACTCAAACATTAAAATATTTTGAAAATATAATTATAATAATATAAATGTTTGGAAAGTACACATTGAAACAAAAAAACATATAAAAAATAAAATTAACCACAAAGTTCCCGTTAAAAATTTTCATATATATTTAAATAAATAATTTTTAAAAAAAAAACTATACATTTTCTATGTATGTTTAATATAATGCCCCAAGGGCAATGTTGAAATTATGTTACGATATTATAAACATTTGATGCTATAGTATTGCAAATCAAATAAAAAGTAAAAGTTTATTTTTTTGTGAACAAATATTTCAAATAAAATTATATATATATTTTTTTTATTGATAAAATAGATAATAATGTCAATAGTCAATAAATATAAAAGAAAATAATATTGTATTTTTTTATTTATTAATTACTGTATTTATATTTATAATAGTATATTATTTAGATTTTTTTTCATAAAAAGCAAATAATAAATAAATTATATATGTATTTAATTTAATAAAATAAATAAATTAGTAGGAAGTGAGATAAAATCACATAAACTTTTCACTTGTATTAATAATAATAATAATAATTGTAATAATTTTTAAAATTAATATAATTTACTATAATTTTTTTATGCAATCAAGAACTAGTATAACCAGAAAATTTAATTAAAAGTATAATAAGTTTAACAAATTAAATAATATGCAAAACAGTATAAACTAACATATGCTTAAACTAATTGACATAATTAAATATATAATAATAATTAAGTTAATTGAATTTAAATTAATTTATAAAAGTAAGTCACATCATAATAATTAAAATAAACTTTTCTAATAAATCTTCAAATAATTAACTCTTATTATTATACAATTGTTTAATTATATGTTTTTAAAATAATAATACAATTTTAGTAATAATAATAATTGATTATTAAAAGTTTATTAAAAATAATAATAATCTATTATATTATAACTATTGATTTATATGATATATTACTGGTATATCAAATAAACTTATAGTATTTTTTAAAAAAGTTAAAATAAAAATAAAATAATATTCAAATTAAATTTTATTACAGTTTTATTTGTGCCGCGCTTTCACCTTAACATACAAAGTCATACTAATAATATATTTTAGTAAAAAAACAATAATTTCATAATTAAAAAAAACAATAAATTAATTAAAAAATAAATAACATATAATACACTACTAGTAGTACAATTATGACCAATCAGAAACTTCTATTAACAATAGTACATTTTGATTTATCATGATGAACTAGTATGCACCTTGGTACAAATCTAGTATACAGGTGCAATATGGCAATGGCTGCCGGCGACTCCATGGGCTTTACTCGGGACAGACAGTCGCGAAACTTACGATCGCAATGACAACCACTTCTATAATATTGATTTTTAAAAATAATTTTAATAATAGGTAAAAAACAATAATTAATATTTTTTATGATTATTTATAAAAAAACTATAGTAATAATAGTTATATAAGATTTAATTATCAGAAAAAATAAAATGATAATAATAATAATTAATATTATCATATAATAAATAAAGAATATTATTATTATTGAAATCATTATTGGATAGCATACTAAATAAAATTAGAATATTTAATAATTATTTAATAATACTTAAGTATAATTAATATGAATGCTATTTAACTGATTACACAAAAAAAAATATTGAAATATAATATTATTATTATATTTTTCTAAATAATTAAATACACACACATATAATAAAAAAAAACTTTTATAAATTGTACTAACATTGTGAACAGTCCGTTATTGGCTACACCGCCGCAACCAGTGTCCAGTGCATCGACATTGATATCGCAGTGATCGTGCTCTCGGCAGCACTTATCGGTCTCCCTGTCCTCACCCAGATCGTGATAGGATCGGGCAGTATTGCCTGGGCCACACCATTTAGTATTGGGAAATGTCATGTCCAGATTGAAATTATTTCTAACAAAATTCAACGATGCCTTACGAAAAAAGTTCCACAAACGGGTACCGGAGCCGCTGTCCATACTGGCCATCATCATCGATGGCATCAAAACAAACAGAACAGTTAGTACAGAAAAAATGTCTACATTTTTTAGATAACGCATTTCACAACTAATTTATTTAATTGTCAAAAAAATAGGTTTCATAAAAAATATGGCGTTATTATTATTATTGTTATTTTTTAGAAAACAATAAAAAAAATTATTATTTGATAATATGAAAGTAAACTATATTATAATTATTACAGATATTTTATAACTACACAATATGTGTAATAATTAAAGTTTACTGTAATTTTTTTTCAATTATCATTGTTAGATAAAATTATAATACTCATAGAATAATAATATTAATGATAATAAATAATAATAATAATAGTGTAATAATAAAAGTGCACAGGTGTGTGCATTATTAATAATTTTTATATTTATTTATTTATAAAAATAATATTGTCTAGAAAATGATAATAATTTTAAAACTATTTTAAATAAATATCAATTATTTGTTAGATTTTGTATTTAAAAAAAAGATTAATTAAGTGATTATCTATTTATACAGTTGTTTATTATTTATAGTAATGCTTTATAATCTATAATATTTAAAAATTTAATATTTAAATGTTTTCATATGATTTCATCTGTATTTATTACTTTAAAACTTTAGATTTTTATAAATATTTGTTTAATTGATTAAATAAATATTTTATGGATTATTAGGTTTACTGTTTACAAAAATTTAAACTCCCCTAAATAATGTCAATTTTATTTGTATATTAAATATTTATTTTTCTAAATAATATTGTTGTTATCATTAGATTAATAAAGTTAATAAAAGTGAAACTTTTTACAATTTAATAAACATTGCTAAATAAACTTAAAATACTCATTTAATAACAATATTAAATTATTTTAGATAAAAAAACTAAATTTAGACGAAAATACAATCCTAAATCTAATTATTAATTTTTAAAAATAAAATAATTATTAAATTTTTTGTTTAAAAAATTATTCACAGTTTGTTATAAATATATAATGTAAATACTATGTATATAATTAAAATTGTCGGTAATTATAATAAACTATAATTTATATATAAATTTACAATATATTGAAATACTAAACTATAGAATTTGTGTACAGTTTAGTTTTGGTTTATTAAATAAGTTGTTTAATAATACTAATAATAATAATTAGATAACACTTTTGATCTAATAATTTGATTTTGTACTTAAAAATGAAATTAAGATAAGGATAAGTATTATAATCTCTGAATATTAACAATAATTTGTTATTATAAATATTATGCATAAAATATATTTATTAAATTATTAGCTAATTCTACTGTATTTATAAAATACGTGAAAAATTAAATATATATATTTATGTATTATATATACTGTATATTGAAGTCAATTTATTTACTTTACAGTTAATACTTTAATAATAATAATACTTGAATGTCCACATAGATTAATATATGGATTATATTAATCAAAATTAATATATCACGTAGCTTAATTTTTTGAAATTACTAATAAACTAAATAGTTAAAAATATTTTACTTGTACTTGATCAAATTATTTATACTATACATTGCGACTATTATAAACTACGTGACTTATTATTTTAATTTTTTTAATCATTATTAATATTCTACATTGTTAGGTACTACTTAATAATAATAATAGTAGTGCACTAAATTTACATTTAATTAACTATTTTTTTATATTTTTAAATGTTTGTATCCTAATAATAAATTAACTAAAATTTATTAAATACTTTATTATAATAGTATCGAAGATTGATATGTATATATAGTTTATTTTTTATCATAAATATTTAATTTTTAGTTGTTATTAATTAAAACAAAAAAAATCTATATATAAATTTTCTATTAATTATTTTTTATTATTATAAATACTGTATCTAAAAAAATAAAATAATATATATATATAAATTATATTGTAATTTTCATATGTAAGAAGCAGCCATTTTTCAAAAACAATTTTAATTAAATACAAATTACATATCATAATAAAATTGATTAAATAATTCACAAACAAAAAAAAACATATTTGATTTTTTTTAAATATAAATAATAATTGATAAGATAATAATTTTCAATTTAAAAGTACAATAGTGTTTATATTATTATATTTATTATATTATACTTTAAAAAATTTCTATTACATTAATAATAATATTCTAAAATGATTATCAAGTTATCATTGTTGATATTAACATGTATTATATATTGAAAATATTAACTTAATCATAATTTAATTAATTAAATATAAATATATAAATATTATTATTTTTTGCAGTTTGTATCGTACAGTTAGTTTGTGGTCAGGGAGGATACCATGAACTACAATACGATGTCAAAGCCCTGCGAGAGTTTGACGACTATATTATTGATTCATGTCTAACACCTGATGGCCAGTTGCCGGACACTGCCGATGAAATTGTAGAGTATTGGTGTCGGTAAGTGATTGTCATAACAAATATTGGTATTTTTAAAAAAAATAATAGTTATATACTATAATAATTATAAACTTTTTGCTATAGTGTGTAACACACACACACATACACTCAATATATATACAGCTTTTAAATATGTATATATTCAAAACATCTAAATATAGTAATGCCCTATCCAAACATCTATACCTACTGGGCCTACTGGAGCGTGCATTTGAACATAACATAGCACTGGTCAATATTTTCCGGTTGTCATCGTTTAGCAAAATACGTGACGTTCATCGCATGTGTCGCAATCGCCAGATTTTGCCAGTGATAGCAATGGTGTTACGGGTTGTCAACAAGTATTTACCACAATTGATGACCATATGTCCGATTGCCAAAAACACTTACCTGCATGTAGTCGATCCCAGATCGGGACTAACGGCTACACATTTAGTTTGGTAAAAAAAATAAAATCTACTGTACATACCTGTCCCATAATTAAATCTCTATCTATCTATCTATCATATCTATCTCTATCCTACATAAACTTTATCATCACTAGTAACTCAATATACACGCTCAACATTTATAGTAATTACAATATATTAATATAATTTAATAAAATTTAATTAATATACAATAATTTTAAAAAACTATATTTAGAGATATCTACAGTATTAGGTGTTTGAAATATTATAATAACTTTTTTAATCTACTAATCAACATACCCCCACCAACCAACCCCCCCCCCCACTTAAAAATAACAAACTATTAGTTTTCTTAAATATATATACTAAATATATTTATCTATATAATTTTAGCTTTATGAAAAAATTTATGGCTCAAATATTTGGCGTATTGCCGCCAACAATACAAAAAGCATTTATGCTGGATCAGTTAAGAAAGTTCAAACAAAAATTACCCATCATCAAATTGATTGTTCATTTACTTCATATCGACACCAACTTTAACGACTGTCCACTACCGCGCCGTCGGGCAGACAATCCATTGGGAATCAGGAGCGACATAACGGCATTGCTTATGGCCTTTGATAAGGTGTCCACTTATAGGCATTAAATTAATTAAAAAAAACTTGGATTTATTATTATTATTATTTTGTTGGTTGTATGACATTGTATGATATAGATTAAAATTGTTTGCTAATTAAATAATTTAATAAATAATTTTTTAAAAATAAAATAAACTATATTTATTTATTAATTATATAAATTAATTATTTTTTTTAGATAAAGCATATAAAATATTTGGTTGTTTAGGTATAAAATAATAACATTTTATGACATATTTAATATATAAATATATTAAATAATTTTTAGGAAAAATAATTTATAAACAAACAAACAAAAAAATACTAACCTATAAGTAACTCTATCTAAATAAAAATTATTTTAAAAATATAATTTTGTTACATTTAATAAACATTGCTAATTAAAGACATAAATATATATTATTATTATTTTTAAAAATAAGATTATTATTATTAAAATTTTATTTATAAATACTGTTGTGTGTATTGGATTGTTTTATTATTTTTAATATATATAATTAATAATTTAAATAAATAATACATAATAAATAAAACATATTATATATAAATACTTAATTTTTCTAATAGTTTAGATCGTATTACAGTCAGTTTAACCTTAAAATACAACAATTTTAAGTACAAATAAATATAATTTATATAATATGTATATTATACCAAAAGTTAAATAATCTAATTTTTAGTCAAATTAATTAAAAAAATGTATAATTATTAATTTTTTAATTAATTTTTTAATTAATTTTTTACAACAGTTGCCTCTAATGTAGATGTAGTCTAAAATTCATGTTCCGGTTAATTAATTTAAATAATATATTTAACTAAAAATTAGATTATTTAACTTTTGGTATAATATACATATTATATATATATAATATATTACATTTATATCAGGGTTAAGTAAGGGGGTAGGGGGTAAGGACAAAATACCCCCCCCTATATCGAGATTTTGGGATTTTACCACCCAGACTTTTTGATCCCCCCTAAAATTTCAGCGAAATTTTTTTAAGTTTTTAATTTTAAAAAAACCATAGTGTATCATTAATGCTTTTATCAAGTATTTTTAAGTATTAATAATACATTATTATTTTATTTTTTGTTAAAATTTAAGTTTTTGTTAATTTTTAAGTATTTTTTTGTATTTTTGGAAATTTTACCTATTTTCCTGGAAATTTATACTGGAACTTATGTGAACTTTATCGAATTTACATGAGAATATTCGGGAATTTTCTCTTGACTCCCTCCCTTGAATTTGGATTTTTGAAAAAATTGCCGTTAAAAAATGCAATAAAAATCTTACCCCACCCAATACCCAATACCCAATACCCCACCCCAAGATTTTTCGAGAATTTTGTAAATTTTACCCCGGTCTACCCCCCCCCTAAAATCCAAAACCTTGCCTAACCCTGATTTATATGTACTTAAAATTGTAGTATTTTAAGGTTAGACTGACCGTAATACGATCTAAACTATTAGAAAAATTAAGTATTTATATATAATATGTTTTTTTTAATTTAATTAAATTATTAAGTAATTTTAGTATTAAATTGCATTTTTTTTAAATATAAAATTTTTATTTTATACAGTATTTACAGTTAAATAGTGATTAATAATTAGAAAGTGTAGTACTCTTTAGTTAGTAGTTTAATAGTTGATTATTGTTTAAATTATATATCAATATATATATATACACACAGTATATATTTTTTGTTTGTTTAATATATTAATATAACATTTAAAAACAATAATGTCTAAATTATCATTGATAATTTTATCATGTAATTATAATAATATATATGTAATATATTGTATTTTATTAATTATAAAAAAAGTTAATATTTTTTAATTTAAACATTTTGTTTTGTCTTATTTTTGTTGTTGTCTCAGTATGTATCGGACAGTTGGTTTTGGGTCAGATAGAGGAGTACAGTGGTCAAGGTTTTGGTGGTAATGACTTGGATGTCGATGCCCTACTCGAGTTTGACAACTACGCGATGACAAGTTTTTTTACATCCGATGGCCGATTGCCGTCCACTGTCGACGAAGTTCAACAATCGTGGTGTCAGTAAGTGTTATACAATGAAAACAATATATGGATTTTTAGTTAAAAAAATAATTCACAAAAAACTACTATTTTCTTATTAATTATTAGATATATACTGTATTTAATTAATTAATAATATTAATATATATATTATATAAAATCGACTATGCAATAAACAACAAGCCATTAGCTATCATACAGTCTATACACTAATACACTACTCACCCACTTATCCACACACATACACACACACACTCACGCACCCACAAATTTATTAATACAGTATCACACATGTATTACTAAAACAATCATACCCACCCATCTCATTATTACCACTAAACTCCAGCATCCATTCACACACCTACACACAGACACATACATACGATAACAATAATAATAAACATCTATATATTTTCTTAATTAGTAACTTTCTATCCGATCACCTGTACGTACTGGACCTACTTGAGCGTGCATTTGCCCGCAACTATGGCCTGGTTACATTTATGCGTTTAAGTACACTGAAAAGCATACACGATATTAGCAAACTGTGCAGTCAACCTAAACTATTACATGGTGTGGCAATAGTATTTCGATTGCTCAACAATTTTTTGCCGCAATTGATGAAAATGTCTGATAAGGCCAAAAATGTTTACCTGCATGTGGCCGATCCTAATTCACCCCTTACAGCTACCGATCTGATTTGGTAAGTCATATCATATCATATTATAAGTATATTGTAGTGTACCGTACTATATATTACATATCGTTTTCTAAACTATCTATCCTAATAAATATTATTATTATTATTATTATTACTTTATATACAGAGTATAGTAGTGTTTCTATTATAAGGTTAGCAATTATATGATTATAAAATTATATGCAATAATATATATATAAATTATATGCATCAAGTAATTAGCAATTATATGTAAGAATACTATATATATATATATATATTGGCAAAGTTAAAATGGTTTTTTCGTATTAGAAAATCAATGTTTAACATTATTTTTTATTATTCTATCAAATTATTAAAAATTCAAACTACACAATTTTTATTAGCTTAATTATCAGTCTATTACTTACACTAACAAATTTCATTATAAAATATAAGAGTGTTCAATAATAAAGACGGTTTTAAAGACACCCAAACATAAAATTTAAATCTCTTAAGAATATTGTTAAAATTTTAGTTTTGTAGTTGAGCAAATTTTATTATTTTCATGCACTGGATAGCTGAAAAAATTAGAATTGTTAGGACGTAATTAAAAAAAATTAAAAATATCTAAATCGATTTAAAATGCAAAAAATCTAAAATAAACACTTTAAATTTAAAATAATTGCTGACAATATATGCTACAGAATATCAAAACAATTTTAATTCTAAAATTTGTTTAAAATTTTGTAGTTTACAGATAAATTACTTTAGCACAATTTCTAAATACAAAAATTAAGTTTTATTGAAATTATATAATACCTCATATAACTAATTTTGATATAAGTAACATTTAATGTTTATTACTAAATATTGTTAAGTTTTACAACAATTAAATTCATTTTTTAATTAGATTATTATTCTTAAGTGAACGTTGTTTATATATGTAAATATCGTTTTAAATAATTGATAAACAATATCAGAAAATGGAATTATTTATTAAAAACTCTTAATGTCAACTTTATGTTAAAATTTTCATTAAGTTGTTTTTATTTTTTTTTTATTTGTTTCAAAAAAATAAATTAGTGCATATATTTGTATAAAATTTAAAAAATGACAACTTTTAAGAGCTCACATTAATAAATAATAAAGTTTCATTTTTAAAAATGTTAAAATCATTGAATAAAAAAATGATTTTTTACTTATCATAAAAATTAGATATCGAAGTGTAAAAAAACCACATGTTTTAATTTTTAAAATTTTATTTTAGTATTTAAAATTTAATTTTTGTATAACTCGTCATTTCCGCTAACATAGTTTATTTTGATTTAAAATATGAGAATTCATAAAGATTTTCAATTTATCTTCAACTAAGCAAATGTTCAAATATAAGAGTTAAAAATCACTTAAATATTAACATGAAAGCAATTACAGGTTTTTCAAAAATTCAATTTAAACATATGAGTTCCATACGAAAAAACTATTTTAACTTTGCCAATATATACAGTATTCTTGCATATAATTGCCAATTATTTATGATTACTATTTGTATACATATATATACAGTATATACATATAATACAGTACAATACAGTACATATTGTAAATACAAATGTATTTATTATACAGCAAAAAATAATATTTAAACATTTTATTTAAAAATATTTTTTTTTTTAAATTAATTAATAAAAATCATACTTTTTTTAATTAAAATTATATTTTTTTAAAAATTTTAGTTTAATTAAAAAAGGTATGTCTAAAATAATGCACATGGTACCTGCAGCATTGAGATCGGCAGTAATCAAACAACAATTAAAACTATTCAAAGAGGAATTGCCCATGTGGAAATTTATATTTCAATCGTTACGTATTGATGTCCATTTCAATGACTGTCAACTACCGCGCGGTCCGGCGGCCAACCCGTTAGGCATACGTAGCGATATTACCGCAATGGTTATGGCCATGGATAAGGTGTCCCTATAAATGTTGTGTCCCCCAACTAATTAATTAAATTTATTATTATTATTATTGATTTTTTTTTTGAGTTAAATATTCATATTATTATTATCAAAAATAACATTTTATTTATAAGGATTAATAAATGAGGACTGTTGTGTGTGTATTGGATTGTTTTATTATATTTAATATATATTATTATAAAAAAATTTATTAATTTTTTTTGTACAGTTGGCTCTAATGTAGATGTAGTCTAAAATTCATGTTTCGGTTAATTAATTTAAATAATAAATTTAACTAAAAATTAGATTATTTAACTTTTGGTATAATATATATATTATATTAAATTTATTTGTACTTAAAATTGTAGTATTTTAAGCTTAAACTGACCATAAAACGATTTAAACTATTAGACAAATTAAGTCTTTATATATAATGTTTTTTTTTAAAAAAAAATTAATTAAATTATTAGTAATTTTAGTATTAAATTACATTTTTTAAAAATATAAATTTTTTATTTTATACAGTATTCACAGTTAAATATTGATTAATAATTAGAAAGTCTAGTACTCTTTAGTTAGTAGTTTAATAGTTGATTATCGTTTTAATTATATATCAATATATATATATACAGTATATATATATATATTGTTTCATACATTAATTTAACAATTAAAAACAATAATGTCTAAATTATCATTGATAATTTTATCATGTAATTATAATAAAATATATATATATATATATATAATATATTGTATTTTAGTAATTATAAAAAAAGTTAATATTTTTTAATTTAAACATTTTGTTTTGTTTTGTTTTATTTTTGTTGTTGTTTCAGTATGTATCGGACAGTTGGTTTTGGGTCAGATAGAGGAGTACAGTGGTCAAGGTTTTGGTGGTAATGACTTGGATGTCGATGCCCTACTCGAGTTAGACAACTACGCGATGACCAGTTGTTTTACATCCGATGGCCGATTGCCGTCCACTGTCGATGAAGTTCAACAAACGTGGTGTCAGTAAGTGTTATACAATTATGAAAACAATATATGGTTTTTTTAGTTTTCACAAAAAACTACTATTTTTTCTTATAATTATTAGATATATATAATTAATTAATAATATTAATATATAGATTTAATTAATATATATAGTATAAAAAAATCATGGCGACTATGCAATAAACAACACACCATTAGCCATCATACAGCCTATACACTAATATACTCACCCACATATCCACACACACACACACACACACTCACAATGAAAACAATATATGGTTTTTTAGTTTGAAAAAAATAATTGACAAAAAACTACTATTTTCTTATTAATTATTAGATATATACTGTATTTAATTAATTAATAATATTAATATATAGATTTAATTAATATATATATAGTATAAAAAATCATGGCGACTATTCAATAAACAACACACCATTAGCCATCAGTAGTCTATACACTAATAGACTACTCACCCACTTATCCACACACACATACACAGTCACGCACCCACAAATTTATTAATACAGTATCACACATGCATTACTAAAACAATTATACCTACCCCCCACTTATTATTACCACTAAACTCCCGCATCCACACACTCCTACACACCTACACACCTACACACCTACACACCTACACACCTACACACCTACACACCTACACACCTACACACCTACACACCTACACACCAACACACCTACACACCAACACACCTACACACCTACACACCTACACACCTGCACCTACACCTACACACACACAACAACAATAATAATAATAAACATCTATATATTTTCTTAATTAGTAATTTTCTATCTGATCATCTGTATGTACTGGACCTACTTGAGCGTGCATTTGCCCGCAACTATGGCCTGGTTACATTTATGCGTTTATGTTCACTGAAAAGCATACACGATGTTAGCAAACTGTGCAGTCAACCTAAACTACTACATGGTGTGGCAATAGTATTTCGATTGCTCAACAATTTTTTGCCGCAATTGATGAAAATGTCTGATAAGGCCAAAAATGTTTACCTGCATGTGGCCGATCCTAATTCACCCCTTACAGCTACCGATCTGGTTTGGTAAGTCATATCATATTATAAGTATAGTGTAATGTAGTGTACCGTACTATACATTACATACCGTTTTCTAAACTATCTCTCCTAATAAATATTATTATTATTTATTATTACTTTATATACAGAATATATTAGTGTTTCTATTATAAGGTTATTCATCAAGTAATTAGCAATTATATGCAAGATTACTATATATATATATAATTTATATATACATACAGTATTCTTGCATATAATTGCTAATTATTTATGATTACTATATATATATATATATTGTACATAAAATACAGTATAATACATATTGCAAATACAAGTCTATTCATTGTACAGGAAAATAATATTTCAAAAAAAAAATTAAAAATTATTAAACATAATTAAATTTATAAAAAAATTAATTAATTAATTTATTTATTTATAAAAAAAACCATACTTATTTTTTTTAATTAAAATTTTTTTAAAATTTTAGTTTAATTAAAAAAGGTGTGACTAAAATATTGCACATGGTACCAGCAATATTGAGATCGGCAATAATCAAACAACATTTAAAACTATTCAAAGAAGAATTGCCCATGTGGAAATTTATAATTCACTCGTTACGTATTGATGTCCATTTCAATGACTGTCAACTACCGCGCGGTCCGGCGGCCAACCCGTTAGGCATACGTAGCGATATTACCGCAATGGCTATGGCCTGGGATAAGGTGTCCCTATAAATGTTGTTTTTCACTAATTAATTAATTAAATTTATTATTATTATTGATTTTTATTTTTATTTTTTTTTGAGTTTTATATATAATTAATTAATTCTTTATATGATAATAATTATATAATAAATTAATTATTATTAATATATCTATATAATATTTTTATTAGAAATATTTTTTTAAAATTATTTGTTGTAATAATTTAATTATATTTAATTAATTATTGTGTATTTGGGTAAAAATTATTTTATTAATTATTTTTTATTTTACTATTTCAATAAATAATAAATGATAATTTATATAGTGTATTAGTATAAATTTTTATTATTATTATTAAATAAATATAAATTTAATATTAATTAACTATAAAAACTAATAGATAGTTATTTATTATAATTAAATTTTATAAAATTTTCTTATTATTACTTTTTTAATTTTTTTATTATTATTTTTTCATAAAGTGAGTCATACTAAAAACAAACATATTATATAATAAAGTATAGTATAAACAGTATACGTCTTATCATAGTTTTATACTATTGATTATAAATATAGTATAAATATTTTAGTGTATTTTAATGATTAATTGCTGACATGTAGAAATTTATATAATATAAATATTATCATTAATAATTTAGTATAAATATATTTAGAAAAAAAATTAGTGCAATTGTTTTATATTATTGTTTTATTTTTGTATAGAAGATATACTGTAATAATATATTTTTTTAAAAAGAAAATACAACAACAATAATAATATACATGTATTTAAATAGTTATTAGTAAAGTAATTAACAATTAAAAAATCATTTTTAAAAAAGTTATCAATAACATAAAACTATAGATTGATAAATGCAAAAAAAAATTTAACTTAAAGTATAATAACAAAAATTATTAATTTTTATAAAAAATATAATAATAATAATACTTTATTATACAATGGGAAACATATTTGAATCGCTATTCAATCGGCTCTATGGACCAAAAAAGTTAAACCTATTGATAGTTGGTTTGAATGGGACGGGTAAGACAACTATACTCTATAGGCTTAAGCTTAACGATATGTTGACCACTATACCGACCATCGGGTTCAACGTTGAGACTGTAGACTATAGAAACATATCGTTTACCGTTTGGGATGTCGGCGGAGGTGATCGTATACGGCCACTGTTGAGACATTATTATAGCACAACAAACGGTATCATATTTGTTGTCGACAGTAATGATAGAGATTGTATTGACGAGGCCAGGGATATGTTACATGAGGTGGTCGGCGACGATCAACTGGAAAACAAGTCGGTACTGGTGTTGGCCAACAAACAGGATATGCCCGAAGCGTTACGGGCGGCACAGCTTACTGGACGCCTGGACTTACCTAAATTGACTACAAAACACGATTGGTATATACAGAGTACATGTGCCCGAACTGGTGAAGGTATCTATGAAGGACTTGACTGGTTATCAGAATCGTTGATGAAAAACAAAGATTGATTGGAAAACAAAGTAATAAAAAAAACTTTTTTTTATTAATTTATTTTCTTTTTTTTATTATTAATTATTGATAACAATAGTTGATAAAAAAAATTAAAAGATATCACTGATGCTGTTAAATATTTGATATAGATATTGCTGGTATAATATATGAGATTTATTTTTTAATTAAATTAATTAATTAATTTTATAAAAATAATTATTTTTTACTTGCATTTAGAAAAATAGTCTAAATATAGTCATTGTATATTATATATAAATATATATATATATTTTAAAATATTAGTATTGATATATATATAAAATACTGTATAATTTAACTGTATTAATAATTTAAATATATATAAAAAATTATAGCTATTTTAATTGTATGTAACAAATGTACTAATAATTGTTTTAATTACTCATTTTTAAAAAAAAAATAATAATTTAGTTATTTATTTTATATTATTATTTTTTTTGCATTGTTTCTAACAAGTCATTTACATTAAGTGAGTCATACCTGGAAACAAAAACATAACATAACATATAATAATAATAAATACAGTACATTATAAACAGGTACGGTATGTCAAAATATATAGTTTTATACTATCATATTATTATAACTTATAAATATTATGTTGTTTTTTTGTATGTGTCGTCGATTGCATTGCAATCATGTAAGCGACTATATAGATAAAGTACAGTATATTTATATCAATAAAATAATATAATATTATACATAATAATAATAATAATAATACTTTATATAAAACACATCATCACTAAAAAACATTAGCATTATGCAACAAAATAGTATACATTGCATTATACTGTATATAATTTTTTTTATTAACTTATAATATTTGTAGTATTTTTAATGTTTACGATATTATATCGTATATATAGTTTTTTATATTAAAGGGTAGAAAATAAATTATTTTGATTTTTTTTGGTTGTTGTTGTTTTTATTGTTCAATTTAAATATACGTGTAATAAAACAATTTGTTAGTTAATCCACAACAAACTTTCCACGTTTTAAAATAACTATTTGTATATAAATATATATCATATTATAAATAAGTAAAAATACAAATTCAACATTTCTAGCCTAAACTAATAAATATACAGATGCTATTGTATTATATTTAATTTTTTTTATATATTTGATGACAGTTTACTTTTAAAAAAAGTTTTCTAAAAATAATAATTGACAAAAAATAATATTGTCAAAAAATATAATTATTATTATTATTATTACTGTGATTAATATGTAAAAAAATCGCTAATTATTTCACACAAAAAAAATTGTAATTAATAAAAAGTTTATTACAAATTTTTAAATAAAAATTATTAAATATATTTTTTGTGCAAAAATTGTGATCATATATTAAATATCTATATATAAATAAAAACAATGGGAAACATATTTGCATCGCTATTCAATCGACTGTATGGCCCAAAACAGATGCGCCTATTGATGGTCGGTTTGGATGCGGCCGGTAAGACAACTATGCTCTATAAGCTTAAACTGAACGACTTGGTCACTACCATACCGACCATCGGTTTCAATGTGGAGACTGTCGAGTACAGGAACATATCGTTTACCGTATGGGATATCGGCGGTCAGTCACGTATACGGCCACTGTGGCGATGCTATTATAACAATGCTCAGGGCATTATATTTGTTGTCGATAGCAACGACAGGGATCGTATGGACGAGGCACGGGAGGTCCTGCAGGAGATGCTCGGCTACGATGAACTGCGAAACGTATCGGTACTGGTGTTGGCCAACAAACAGGATTTGCCGAACGCATTGCGGGCGCCGCAGATCACTGAGCGCATGGAGTTACATAAGTTACGGACACATGACTGGTATATACAGAGTACATGTGCCACAACTGGTGAGGGTATCTATGAAGGACTTGACTGGTTGTCACAATCGTTGATGAAAAAAGTTTGATTAGAAAAAAATCATTTGTTTTATTAAATATTTTATTTATATTATTATTGACTACAATCTTACTATTTATTTAGTAGTCTACATATATAAGCCATATAAGCAATATAATTATATGTATATTATAAAATGATTGTCACAATTAGTTAATAGTTATAATATTTTATAATTAAAAATAATAATAAATAAGTAATGGAATTATATCTGCAAAATTGTAAACTAAAAATATTAATTTTATTAATTTTTTAATTTTATAATATATTTTATATATAACTTAATTAACTTTTAATAAATGACTTAAGAAATATAATGTACTGTATATTACTGTATTAGTTATTTTTTCATTTAAAAATAGATATTAATTATTAAATAGAAAAAATAACCTCGATTGTCTAATAGCTTATAATAAATTGCATAAAATTTAATTAAATATAAAATATGCCTTTTATTAAACTCTACAGTTTAATAATATTCTTAAAAATTTTTTTATTAATAAACTCAAAAATATAATAAATCAACTAATTATTTATTTTATAATATAAATTTTTATACAATATTTAAAAGTAATCAATTAGTGTAACAACATTAACATTTAGTGTAAATTAGCGTAAAACCTATAAAATTAAAATAAATAAACAAACAAAACTTTATACAAATAGTCTATTAATATAACAGCATTTTTATGCCCAAAATTTGCTAAACACTGTTTGTTTTTTAAATAAATTGTTTAAAACTATTATATACTGTATATATTATTAAATTACATCAAAAATACTGTTATATATTATATAACATATTGTATATATCATATAGTTTTTTAGTTTTATTTTTATCCCACAAATCCTAATCCCTTAATCTATTAATAACTCTCTCTCTCTCTCTTTCTCTTTMTCTCTCTCTCTCTCTCTCTCTCTCTCTCTCTCTCTCTTACTTTTGCTAAACAAGTAATCATGGATTCAGTTATAAATTGTCAGCCATTTGACGGCATTGAAGATAACAGCAATATTACCACCACTACTATTACTACTACCAGTGCATCCATCGTTAGCCAACCAACCATACCTACCACCACCACAACCATCATCACCGGTGGTCTCTGTCATCGGTTACCACTATTTCTACTATTAATACTACTGTTAGTCACTCCCGGTACGTTTATCCTAGTCGGCTACATACTGTTGCCTACAATACTGGGCATAATATTTCTATTGCTGGCCGGCACACACCTACTCTACTTTGTCCGACTTTTCTGCCTACTAGTGCGCAACCGACTAAATGTTCAATTTATGCGAACACGTGTCCAAGTATTTCTCAACGCGTGTCTCATCGCATGGACAATACTGTTGCTAATGTTGTTGGTGGTGGCGGCCAACGCACCGGCCCTACCGACCAGTAAACTACCGCCACCTTTGCTCGTATGGCTCGGTCTACAACTGTTACTATCGTGTCTAGTATTTGGCATACCGTGTCTTCTAGTTATATGTCCGGCCATTTGTGACACACGATAGTGCGATAATACGGCGGAAAAAAAATCTAAAGCGCGCCGTCCGATAGCTAATCAAAGTAATATATTAGAAGTTTTTTTTGGTGCTTTTTCAACTTACAAGCGCTAATACTGTAGACACTAATAAAAGGTACCAATGATGCAATGAACTATGTTTACAGTTTGGGCCCAAACATGTAAAAATATATTGGTATTTGAGATTACCTGTGAAATTGGTTTCGATATATACTGTATACAGTATGTGTACGGAAAGTATAGGTAATAATTGTGATTAATTTTATGTTTATTCAGTTTTTATATATGTATTATTAAAAAAAATTATATTTTGAACAAAAAAATAAATACTATTTAATATAACTAATAATTACTGTGACTGTAATTTATTTTATTATATTTAAATTTTTATAATCATATTTTTTAATTAATTATTTAATTAGAATGATGACACTCATGATAAAACTCTTACTTTAATTTATATATATATATAAATATTCTGTATATAATTATAAATCATTAAATAAATAAAAAATCGTATAGTAATAAATAAATTATTTTTTTGTTAATATTAATAATATAAAAGTTAATAATTTTAAGTTTAGTTAATAAAAAAAATCCGAATTTATTTTATTATTTATAAAAATAACACAATAAAAAAAATAATTTATTAAATATATTAATAAATAAAACTGTATAGTTATAAATTTAACTATTATTTATTAAGAAACTTGTTATAACACAATCAAATCATACATTTATATCAAAAATAATAACTCAATCATAAATTATTTTTTTCTATTAATAATTAAATTAAATTATATTTCCATTAAAAAACTTAATTATGTTTTTAGCAAATAATGTAAAGCAAAAAACAAATATAAATAATTGATTAAAAAACTGTATTTTCATAAATCATATTTATTGAACAAAATATTTTTTTGTTAGTAATCAATAAGATTGCAGATTAAAAAATATGAGTTTTATTTTTTTTGTCAATTGCACCTACAGTTTGAACACTTTGGACCACCAGAAGTATAGCAGTCGTACGGCTTACACGGCTTGTGGACAGCAGGAGGACGAGGGCAGCCCTGAGGGCACCTGTTTATCGTACAGTTACCCGTTGGTCGTTCAATACATGTCAACTGTGGCGGCTTAAGACATCGACAATCGGTACGATTGTTGCGACCGATGTTCACTACAGTTGTTTGGCTGATCGGATATTTTTGTTGGCCAAACACACAATACTGGCCATTATTTGGTGGCGCTATATAAATGCCAGGGTTAGTAAAGTAGAGGGTAAAGTATTACTGGTGAGTTGAATAGTTATGGGACAGGGATTGATTTGGACATAGAGTCTGAATAGGTTAGGCTGGAACAGCATTAATACTACTTACGGCAATGATAGTCAATAGGACAGCACGGGTTGTTTGGATAGTAAATGGGAACACAGTTAGTGTTGTTGGTGTTGTTGTTGCCGGGCTTTGATGATGTTTTATTATGAGAGTTGGTATAACAATTGCCTGGTCTACCGTTACAGTTAGTATTTTGACTGCACGAACATCCCGATCCCGATGACCACGACCACGATGATGCTGATGATGAGGATGACGACGATCTTTCAGCCAATTGTGGTGAATTGGGAAACAAAATAGGCATCAATTGGCCAACATTTGCCGGTGTCAGTGTCTCCCGATTTCCCGAAACCCCACTATTATTTTTGTTGCCATTAAATGATGACCGCGATTGTGGCAGTTCGGGCTGATAGTCGCGGAAACGATAATCTGGAAAATATTATAATAGTTATTATAAATATTTTATTAATTTAATTTAAAAAAATAATAATTAATAATTTACTTCGTTGGCTGTCCTGTCCCAGTGATAATGTTATCAATGATGTTGTTATTGTAATCAAACATATTATAAAAAATTGATTTAATTTTTTAAAATTGTAAAACATTTTTATTTTGTATCACTAAATAAAAACTAACTTTGTTTTAAACTTAATTAAACAAAATGAAACAATAATTTTTTTGTTGAGTTAAAACTTCTTATATATATATATTAAATATTTTTTTAGACAATAAATTCTTTGAGACTGAAATAATATTATCTCTTAATAGAAAATAATGGTTATTTCATTTCCCATTGTGTAATAAATAATTTATTTATTTATTATTATTATTATTTAATGTCTCAATCAATTATATATTATAATATCAAATTATATAAACTATACAGCTATTAATATTAATATCAATCAATATTATACAAAATATACAGTAATTATATTGTATTAATGTTGCGACTTTTAATGTAAAAATCAAAATTACTAATACTTTATACAGTATTAAATATACTACAATAAAACCTTGGATTATAGTTTAGAAATTTTTTTAGTTGTATTTACTCATTCATTATTAATTTAAAGACATTTTTACAGATTTAACTCATAATAGGCAATCATATAATGATATTGGAAATAATTTTCATTAATATGTAAACAAAAATATATTATTTCTGTTTTTTTTTCATTTTAACTATTATATCATATACCGGTATATTGTGTATATACAGTATATATATATATATATATATATATATATATACAATAATAATTGTTGATGTGTTGCATGATTATGGTGATAATAATTAATATAATATGATATTGTTTTTCACAACATAATAATTATGTTAATAAACTTTACTAAATCAATAGGTAATATATTAATCTGATAGCAATCAGATTTTATATTTAATTAAATAAGAAAATAATTAATTCATTTAGTATGAATCATACGGTATTGAAAAATTTAAAAAAAAATCTTAACCATGATTTTTAAATATATATATATAAATATATGGGTCTCGTTTAAAATATCCAAATCATAATATCTAATTCAAAATTAAAATCTCCAAAATAATAATATCTAAACTTCAAAAAACATTTTATCCAACTTAAATAATACTAATAAAAATATCCAAAATTATTTTATATAAATCAAAATATCCAAATTTATTTATTTTCAATAAATATTTATAATAATAGATAAAATTATTACTGTAAATTATAATTACACTAATTTTGGATATTTTTATTTAAATTAATTCATTATTTTTATATTATAAGTTTGGATATTATTATTTTAGAGATTTTTATTTTGGATATTTTAAATTAGATATTATGATTTTGGATGTGAGTATATATATTATATATTAAAAATATGGATAAACTTGTGATTATAGTTTTTAAAGATATTATTTTTCTGTGAACAAATCTAAACTGATTTGTAGAGATAAAGTATTTTTTTATTTAATAAAATATATTATTAAAATAATATAAAATATTATAATTGAAGTAACTTGAATCATTTAGTAATATTATTTTTTTAAATATATATTTGTTATTTATGTTATATAATTTACAGGTAATTTATATAAACATAATCAAAAAAGTGTCAATTATATTATTTTGTTATATTTATTAAAAAATATTAATTTACAATGGTTTTAATATATTTGTATGGAAACTGTATAATTATTTTTTTTTTAAATATAAATTGTTTAGTTAATAAAATATTTTATAGAATTTTTTAGTTATTTAAAAAAAATTTGAAAAATATTGAAACTAATTAATTTTTTAATTTTTGTGACTGTAATTTTTATTCTATTAATTTTATAATAAACACAAAAAAGTTATTATTTATATTTTTTTAGATTAAAGCTAAACAACATAAAAACTATTAATATAATTTATAAATAGATATTCAAATTTTTTATCAAATAAAAAAAATAATCATTAATTATAAATTTATATTTCAATAAATATTTAAATATTGTTCTCATTGTTTTAAATGAAAAAAGTTATATTATTATATATATATATTTATTAAAGTAAAATTAAGTTTACTATAAATAAATATAAATTTGATAAAAAATAATATTCATTTTTCAAGTTTGATAAAAGTTTATTTATATTAAAATGTAAAATGACCATTGTGATTAATTGTTGTAAATTGACTAATAATTTAAATAAATTAATTATAGTTATTTTTTAAGTAAAATAATTTATGTAAAATATATTATTATTAATACTGATTTCAATAGAGGTTAACATTTATTAAAAAATAAGAAAAATTTAATAATACATTACATAATTATATTAACTTATAATTAATTAAACTGAGACTTTATTGGTTATAATCATAAATTACTTTTCTATTGCTATAAAAAAATTAGAAAATATAATTATAAAAATTATTTTTTTAAAAAAAATTATTTAACTAAACTAAGCAAAATTAATTAATATTAATAGATGATTAGCAAAAAAGTTGATAACAAATATAGTAAATTCCCAGTTATTCATTGGAAATATATTCAAACAATAAAACCCGATCTCTGGTGCCGTCAAGTGTTCAATAAAATGTATTAAATTTAATTTTTGTTGCAATGTATTGGTTGAATTATTTGAAACAATTGCCGTATAGATTATAGCGTATGGTTTGTGAGCGTAAGTGGATATCCAAGTGGACAACATATTCATCATAAATAGTATACTAAATAGTAGTACAAAAATACAACTAAAAGTATACCGGGATACCGGTGCCGTATCGGGACGGCATATAAAATATAGGAATAATTCAAAGCCAGGTACCGATATATAATACAATACAAATAATATTAATTTAAATGTATGATTAAATTTCAAGATAATCTTGTATAACATGTTATGTCTATCAATAGCCAGTTTGATTAGTTGATAGCTACCAGTTTTAATGCCAATTACAATTGTTTCATTAATTTCAATAAATTTAAGTTTCAGATAAAAGCTTATCATAAAAAATGCAATCAAACAAGTAGTAGCCAGTGATGATAATTGTTGTGTATAATAGTAATAGACTATTATACTTATGATTATATTAAATATTTGAAAACCAGAATCGGGATCCCTGTAGGCCTGAACTGATGCATACAAAATGTTCAACATTTCCAGTATAACAATAGCCCAATAGGTCTGATTGATATAGTATTGGACTAAAAATGTCAAATACTTAGCAAATAGTTTATCATGTTTTGCATTCAACGGCAGCTGAAGTTTATTTTGTTTATAATCATTAAGAAAATCCAAAAAATACAATTGATTTGTCCATTCATGGTATTGATAGATCAGACCAATGATAAGCATAACCATTGAACAATCGCTGAATACTGCCGACAAATATTTAGGATTACCTATTATATAGGTCGGATCGGCTAACAGTGCCCGAACTTGTGGACGGTTAGCAATCGATGAACTGGCAAATTGAATGAATGCCATTAATACCAGTAGTTTGATAATACAATTGAAAAACTGGCGTTTCCTATGTTTGCGATGATTGACATAGTCGTCGATAGACCGATGGATAACAAAATGTTTGTATAAAAATATCTCCAATTTATTAACAATATATTCATTAGCCATTTAAATATAGTTTGCATATAATAATTAATTTAGACAAAAATTTAATTAAATTAACTAAAATATAAAATAAATATTTTAACTTAAGATAATAATACAATAAATAGTCAATAAAATATAAGATAAAATAATAAACTTTTTTTTAAATAAAATAAAATTCACTATATTGTTGAATAATTTATATAAAAATACTAATGATTTTTACCTCAGACTATATTTATATATATAATTATAAACTAAAAGTAAGTTAATATTATATCTTAACTATATATAAAAAATATGCCGTATATTTAAAGGACTTATTAATTATTAAAATTAAATTAACAATAAATTTTGTTAATAACCTTAAAGTAATCATTAAATTGTATATGTTTTATAATAAATTATTAAATATTTCTATTTATATATTTAATACTTAAAATTAGAATAGATAATTGTATTAAATTTATATGTGAATATTTTATTTAATATAATAATTAATATAAGAGTATTGTATTAAAAAAAACTATTATATTAGACATGTAGACAATTAATTTAAATAATGACATTGATTAAAGTTTGCATAATCAAAATAACTATTAAAATGTCACATAAAACATAATTAATAATATGTTTAATTATAATAATATCATATAAATTTTATTGCACTTAAAAATTAACTTATAGTATACTAAACTTATTTATTACAATAGTTAGTTATTTTTGTATTTATATAAAATTACTTAATATTAATAAATAATTTGAAAAATAACTTCTGATAATTACTATAAACTTTTTATAATTTAAATTCAATTTTATAACTGTATATTTATAGTGGATATCTCTTTACAACTAATACTGATTTCAATAGAGGATAAAAAATTTTTAAATTAAAAAATAATAAAATTTTCATAATACATTACATAATTATATTAACTTATAATGAATTAAACTGAGACTTTATTGGTTATAATCATAAATTACTTTTCTATTGCTTTAAAAGTAGAAATGTAATTATAAAAAAAATATTTTTTTTAATTATTATTTAACTAAACTAAGCAAAATTAATTAAAATTAATAGATGATTAGCAAAAAAGTTAATAACAAATATAGTAAATTCCCAGTTATTCATTGGAAATATATTCAAACAATAAAAGCCGATCTCTGGTGCCGTCAAGTGTTCAATAAATTTCAATAATTTTAATTTTTGTTTAACTGAATGTCTATTTTTAATAATTGATTTATAGAGCATAGCGTATGGTTTGTGAGCGTAACTGGATATCCAAGTGGACATCATATTCATCATAAATAATATACTAAATAATAGTAGAAAAATACAACCAAAAATATATCGGGCTACCGGTGCCGTATTGGGACGGCTTATATAATATAAAGCTATCTCAAAACCCGGTACCGCTAAATAATACAATAAAAACAATACATATTGAAATGTATGATTAAATTGTTTTACAATTAGATAGAGTATGTTATGTTTATTGATTGCCAAATTTAATTGATAATAATTATCACTTTTGATACCAATTCTAATACGATTATTGATTTCACTAAACTTTA